AAAAAGGACCTCCAGTACAGTGACGCCCACGATATAAACCGTTGGGCCATCGAAATCGTCAAATGGAAACGTAAAACATGGGGATCAAGGAGAAACCTTAGCCTATAAGAAAATTAAGGCAGGCGGTTACTTAATGACAATGTAATCTGATCGGATTAATTAGGCTCAGTGTCGTCGGCAGGTCAAGGTAGTTGCATTCGTTGCAAATTTAACAATTAAACTCAGTACGACGCAGTCGTGTCCGGCTGCGATCCGGAAATAGCGCACGCGCAACGTCGAGACAACAAGCCACCTTGGCCGCACCTACATTCAAGGTCTAAGAAATTGAACGTGAAAAAACACGCTGTTGAATTAGTGATTGAATAATATTCAAATTAGCCCTGAGTACAGTGGAGTTCTACATTTAACGTGTCACTTGATATCTTAAAAAACATAGTAAGTGGCTTGGCTCGATTATTTTGTTAATGCTAATTTTATTGATTGTTAATTTGTCAGTGCAGTAGAGGGAAGTTTTATTCCCATTTTATGATATTTTAATAGTATATAATACTCTATACGTTAACGACACGTGTGACTTCACTATGTACTTTGCTACTAAAGTAGCTTAACATTTATCATCAAATATGTTGTTGGGAAGCCGTTGGTTTGACCTACCGCCTCACAAGCAGAGGCTGTGGGTTCAATTCCGGGCTCGCACCTATGAGTTTCTCTGAATTCACTTGCGAAATTCAATTTGTAATTTACCACGAGCTTTTCGGTGAAGTCAAATATCGTGTTGAAACCTGCACATCAAAGAAGGTTCACAACCCTCGGAAAATGTGTGAAATCTCCAACTCGCATTGGGCTAGTGTGGCGGACCATGGCCTAAGCCATCGCCTGTGAGGAGATCCATGCCCAACAGGTTACTTATAAATGTGAAACGTAGGATTGAAATTCTTATTAAATGTGTAAAAAATTGATATACAAAGTTAATTTTATTTGTTGGGACAATTCAAATGGAATACTCAAGGAATCAAGTAAGTAGATGCCCAGTTCTAAGCTTGACATTTAAAGTAGTTTATGAGAAGGATATATGAACGCTGTAACATTTGCAACGAAACCTGCGTATACGCATCATTGTGCATTCTCTGTTCAGCTGAGGGTCGTCGACCCTGCTGCACACGATGCATTTAAAGTTCACAGGATTGCAATCCAGCTCACTTTTGCTTTCATTGTAAACAAATAATTTATAATAAATAATGGATATGTGTTTTTCTTTACAAATTCACGTTCACGTCTTTTAGGGAATAAGAAAATTAATATCTGAACCACTGAAATAATCGTTCATTAACATCGATTTATTAGCAAGCTTTGTTAATTTAAATTTATTAAAATAAAACGTGAATTTTTTTTACATTTCTATTATAGCAATGTTAAAGAAATGTACAGCTAATTACAATTTTCATTATAAGAATTTAATTATTATTTGTATAAAATAATACAATAGGTTAAAATGCATTTGAACCCTTTGTATGTTTTTACATAGACTAATTACAGTGTTCTCTCTTAAGCATGTACTACATAAGTTCATAATTATTTATAATATCAAGATCATGGCTAATGAGTAAATTATATGTAGAGCGACTGGCTTAACTGGTTTATTGGAATAGTGCGATCGTTTAATAGCTTTGTAAATGATAATAAAAACTCCAAGTGCCAAGACAAACCATACTATTGATAAGTTAATACCTAATGAACACATATATTTCATGGTTGAACGTAGGTAATAACAATATGGATAGAGAACTTCAAAGCTGATTTCAGATTTGACTACGTTGTTTCGTGTACCTTTTTAACATAATATAAAAGGTTCTTTATTCCTGCGATCTGCATGAAAATACGTGCTCCTATTGGAGCTAACATTCTATATATCATTATCTGGCTCTCGCCAACTTGATTGCATGCATCAGTGATGATGACAATTAGAGTTATGGAAATTTTTAATGACTTTCAAATATATGAATCAAAACAAGTGAACCATAATATTGCGCAATAAAACAATATCGTGTATTTGAATAGTAATGCATGTATTCGGTAATCGTATGTGCAATAGTAAAATTAAACCCATGGACATCATTCACTGTGTCCATTTCATTGTCACAAACGTGTATCACAACGTGAGACAAGCTTTGTTTTGGTCTATTGTCTGCTTGAATTTCATAGGATAGTTACAGGATATTGGCTGAGTACAACATTGTTTTGGAATGAACTCGTATGTTGATTATAGCACTTGCAGCATCAGAATTCTGAGTGTAAAGTTGCTATACGAAAGTTGAAAAGCAGCTATAGTATAGTTGGGAAAATGATTACCTTGTATGTAGGAGGTACTGGGTTCGATTGCTCCGGAAGGTACCTTACTCGCTGCCGAGTTCTTAATGAAGTAGAAACTTATGCATTTTAGTTTACTAATTATGTTTTTTTTGTAACGTACAATGAAAACATAGCAAAAACTGTATATCGGAAAATCTTCAAACACTGTGGCCAAGCGTTAGTGCCTTAGTCTATTTTATTTCTGTTTAGAGGAGACACAGGTCTCCTTTACCCATCATTGGAATGATAGATAACATTGTAGTAAAAAACTTGGTGTTTAATTGTCAATGTTTATAAACATTGGGACTATTTTTTAATAAACTTTAACGTTGTTATTATGAGAATATAATTCAGATAAACAATATGGTGTACATTTTCATAGGGTATGAAAGTTTTTTTAATAATTTGTAATATACCTGAGCGATTTTTTTAAGTAACTCTGTAAAATTAACACCCGAATATATATTAATTACATGTCTGGTATTGTTTCTGTAGTTTTTAGCTTTAAAATAATATTACACTCCCGAACACACAATTCGAACCACCTAACATTTTTATTCTTAGATGGTTATTATATTAAAAAAATATTGTTATCATCGAAGAAAAAGTATTTCATGGTTTTACGACTTCAAATTTTCAATAAGGACTAATAAAATAATATGAAGTATACCAGTTTCAAAAACGTAAATAGCTCTTGATCAATCAAACATTGTTTAAACTTACGGCATTTAATACTGAAAATGCAAGGCGGCTCGAATTATATCCGGGAATGTATACAGTTACACAATTCTCTAACAGTGAAGAATCATAATTAACACCTGCGTGAAAACTGTTTGGTAGCATCTGGTGTTCAAAACAGCATTGGGTTATTGAGTTTTAGACGACCTCCGTAGTCGAGTGCCGTACACACCAGTTTTCATGGTGTCGCCATCTCTGAAGTCGCGGGTTTGATCCCCGGCCGTGGACAATATAGAAAGCTAACTTTTATGTTGTCTCGGGTATGGGTGTTTGTGAGTCCGTCATTGTTTCCGATTTCCATAACACACGTGCTTTAGTTACTTCCTTGTGGATCAAAGCAATGTATGTGATGTTGTCTAATATTCATTTATTTTATTTAAGGTTTAATACCTCCATCTTGCACCTGCACAATGGATTACATGAAGTGAATGAATGAAATATTCTTTATTGCACTTTAAAATTACAATGACAACACAGAACAGTAATGTAAGTATCACAGAGTACGCCAATGCACAACAGGCGGCCTAACTGCTAAGTAGCAATTTCTTCCAGGCAACCTTAGGACAGAAATTTAAGAGTCGGTGCAGCCAACGAATATCTTGTAATGAAAGCGTTTTAAATACATACACTACTCATCAGTAAAGTAAATACATAAATAATAATAATAATAATATATATTAATATATAATAAAAAGATGTTTTAAACTGGTTATGGTACATAATTGTGGCAATAAGATTCTCTTTACAACCAAATGCGCACAGTTGTGTTGAAATCAACAATCTATATCAGAGGTTAGTCAGCATGAATAAGTCCCGTCTACTAAGCTAGACAACGGTGGGTGGTTTACGACAGTAACACATATCATGTAGTACCAATGTTATTGTATAAATGATTTATAACTTGTTTAGACAGCCTCATGCAACTTTTAAACGCCTACTACGCTCTCGTTCCAGTTTTATATTCATAGAATACTTATTGCTATTAGCACTAACAAAGGCATAACACGACAAGGCAAGGTGTTAGGTAACCAATGATTAATAATAATAAGTTTAATGGAGTTAGCGGAAACTTTAAAAAGCCAAAAGTACTAGGTCCGAGGGTCTGTGGGGTCCCAGTGCATTATCTTTCTATAAAGTGATATTCTAAAAATAGGAAATTAAACTATTACTCCGAATTTAAATAGAGTACATTTGTTATTTCAAACTAATCAACGCTTTATGTTATTTATATTTTAGCATTAATTAAATTTAGCATTAATATTAGACTAACTGGTTGATGACTTTACCACCTCAGTCAACCGATACCATGGGACCCGTAAAGGACCCGAAACGTTGATATATTTGAAAAAACAAATATACGCGAATTAAATCCGGAATAATAGTTTCATTTCCTACGTGTATTAATCGCGAAAACCTGAGAACTCGATATGATATTCTAGAAGTTAATGGACTAACTGGAAGTGATAAAAACTGGGCATCTTCCTTGCCCAGCGTATTTTCATAGCCCCACAAACAGAGACGGTATCAGCATTATGAGCCCCCTGTTGCCAATATCGTAAAATTAATGTACTACTTGTCTAATGTTCACAATACAAAGATGTATTTACAAACAAACTGTTATCAATTTTCAATTAGATTGTTTTAAATTATACAACAAAGTCGGCAGTGATTAATGTGATCGAGATTAGAGATTATGCTTCGATTAGACATTTTCCTCCTATTGTTTCAACGTTGCAATCTTTATTAACCGATTAAAGCGGTCAATACTAACGAATCAATAAAAGTTATGAAAGTTTTTAACTTTAAGTATTATTTAATCGGTTAAGTTGTGACCTCTAAGAAAGTTTGTTATGTTGTTGTGTAAGTTATTATGAAATTGGTTAGTGGTTAATAAAATAGTAATAAAGACTCACGCGCAGAGAGTGGTTGGTCGTCATGTTGCGCGCGCAGCGGCGAGTGGTTCTAGAGTGGCGGCCTGCGTGAGCGCACCGCGTCTGCTCACATAGAGGTTAGTGCAACTGGAAGGGATTATCTGCCAGGTATCACCGAGAAATCACATAGGTTTCTGTTGTGACTCATCCAGCAGAAACTGATGTCAATATCATAATACCTCTCACATCTGTATTTTGAATGTGTTTGCATATTCATTACGAATTTAGGTTCTTTATAGATGAAATTTTTTACATAAGTTGTAAAATAGGTAGTTAGGTAATGGATGACAAAAAATAAAGTGTTTCCGTACTTTATTCTTAGTAACAAGTTGTGATATTTACACGTACCTTGTTTTCTAAATTTTATATTTATCAAAAGAACAGCTAGGATCAATATGTCGATGATTAACTATATTTTTTTTATAATAATAAGTGACGGGACTAATAAGTCATGCCCCTGAGGGTAAGCGACACGCCTGTCCATAGTAGTTGCAGAACGACTCAAAGCTTTAAACCACAAAGATTTGAGGGGCACTGCCACTGCGCCCGACACCCTGAGATATAAGTTGACAAGTCCCATGTGCCTGTAATTTTACCAGCACCCGTACTCTTCAAAAGCAGATATATATGTAACACACTCAGAATTGCATACATTATACGTCATCAGTTTATCGCAGCTCATTGCCTATTAATTTTATGAAAAAGACACCTTATATTGTATAAAGTAATCAATTGTAAAAAAAAAAATTTAAACACATTTTTAAATATTGCACATAGAGCGTAGTAATGTTAATTTTAGCCATATCCAGCATCTATACGTCATCTGCGACTGCGTCCTTGCTAGCGAATGCAACGGCAATGTGCTTTGTTCCACTAAACTGATAAGCTTTTTAGCTACAATCAACCTCGGTCAGGTGGCTGTAAGCCTTATTTAGACTTAAGCTGGATTAATAGTGTTTAATAAGTTAATATTTTTAACCGACTTCAAAAAAGGAAGAGGTTCTTAATTCGACTGTATTATATGTTACGCGATTACTCCGATATTTCTGAACCGGATACAATGATTTTTTTTTGTTGGAAAAGGGGTATGTTAGTAGTAGTCTCATTCAAATTTGAAGACAGCATTCCTCCTCTATGGGTAGCAAATTATTTTTTTTCCGTTAACGGATTTTTCGTTAACGAATTTGAATAAAAGTAGGCACACGCTGTCATTCCAATGAAAGTAAAATAATATAGTGATTTAGAGCTGATCTAAAAATGGCAAACAGATCAGAGGGACTCCTCAACAGCGTACCGCACCTGGCTTGTGTTTGGCTCAGGTGATTCGTTTTGGCGAGGACTTCCACATGTGTTTCAATTTTTGCTAAGGAGACCGCGGTAGCGAATACACCGAAAGAGGTTTATCAACGAACTTTTAAGCTCTGTCTCTTAATATAAATTTATAATTAACGAGTTCTTAGGTTTTCGCATTGTTACACATAAGAAATGAACTTATTTTTCCGGATTTAAATGGCGTAATTATGTTTTTTCAAACAAACCAACGCTGCGCGCCCTTTTAGGGGTCTCATTGTCACAGTTGAGTGAAAAATTGGTTTGCTGGAAAAAACAGTTCCATTTCCTAAGTTATAATTAATTTTTATTAACGCACACACTCATAGTGCCGTACTAGGGAAACCCTATAGGGAAACACGTACATAGAACACCACTAATTATACCCAAACTCACTAGAGAAATAAATGTAAGCCATACCAGTATATCTCCCGGCCCGGGAATCGTACCTGGGACCTCTGCGATGGTAACCGTTAGGCCACCGAAGCAGTTTACTTTTACAATTATTATTTATTACTTTTACAGCACTATTAAATATCATATCATCGATAGTACATAATACCCTTAATCTCTCATAAGATGAATGCAAATTCAAAGTTTCTGAGTAGTTTTACAGTCTCACCTAAAAAACTGTTGAAAAACTAGTTACTCTGAAAGTTTTTCATAAGCACACACAATCGCACACCTACACATGCACAAAATGCACAATCACAAACACTCAATGTAATTTTTGGAACTTCTCAAACCACTTGTTATCGAACTAATTACTCATTGTTAAATCTTGCTACAATTCCAAAAACATACTTTTTTATTCATTATTTTATGAAACGTTAATGACACTACATCATTTGACGAGTCGGATAAAAGGCAAGTTAATGTCGTAAGTTAGTGTCGTTAATGTAGTTCTAATTAGATGGTCCAACCGTGATGTCAAAATACATAATGTACCTCACCATCAAACCAGTGATTATGTTGGAATAACTTCTGAAACCAGGAAACAAACATAACACATGTAGGAGCAACAGGACTCCTTGTGAAAGAGTTCATCCTGGGAATTACTGCCACCTTACCTATTTCTGCCGCCAACAGTAATGTGAGCATTACCGATTTTGAGGGCGGTGACGAAATTACAGGCACATGGGACTTGTCAACTTATGTCTCAGGGTGACGCAGTGGCAGTACCCCTCCGATCTTTGTGATTTAAAACTTTGCAGTGCAAAAACTGTTACGGACAGGTGTGTCGCTTACCACCAGGCGCACGACTTCTTCGTCCCGTTACTTGATATCATAAAAAAACACAACATAGTTGCTTAAAAAATCTATTTAATATGAAGTAGGCATAATTGTACGGTAGATTTATAGAGGAGCCAATTCAAAATATGTAAATATAGACTGTATGTATATTACAAACCCTGTAAGATCTTCACGGATGATTTCTACGATGCTAATAATTATAAGTTTTTTATAAAAAAAACCACCTCAAAAGTGGAATTACATCTATTTGCAAAGTTTTATTGAAATAATAAATAAGTAAATAACGCACTAGATAACTCATAGCCCCGCACTTAGGAACCCTTGTGTCGCGGGTGCCATGGACACACACATAGACAACCACAAATTACACCCAAACTTACGAGAGAAATAAACGTAGGCCAGACAGATATTTCTCCCGGCCCGGGAATCGAACCCGTGACC